TCCAATGGACGGACCCCCTCTTAAATTTACAACGCTTCCGCCCATTACTTTTGCGGATGTCAGAAATATTCAACAGTTCCACCCATTCACTTGGCGGATGTTTGATGACAAAAATAAAATTTGTTTGAAAAGATGGTAGTATAGAAATATTGATTTAAGAGGATGGTATAGTGAGAATTTTTGTGTAAAACTGTGATAAGGCCCTGGAAAATTCGATAATGGGACTCTCCATGGGTTTGAAGAGTTTGGATTCCATTAAAGTTATTATCTTCTCGCGGCAGTTGATTCGGAATAGGCTAAGTATCCAGAGGCGTCAGATAGTGATAGGTTATAATTAAATGGGGTGTATTGTGTGTGTTGTGGCTTTAGTCTAGATTGTTAGATTTCGAATCAGACTTCTGTACAAATTTTGTATATTGCTCTTGTCAAATAAATTACACACTTGGTCTTTTATAGACCCAAATAAACTTTTACAATTCTAAAACATAAACATAACTGCTACTAATAATTATCATAACTTACTAAACTATTGTCCTTCCTACTACCATAATTAAATGCAAAGCTTATTACTAACACATTTAATGTTTATTCAACAAAACTCCTCTGTAAACTTAAATGCTTCTTCTATCAAGCATTCCTATCATCTTCTTGCCTCTGTCGAAGACTTCTTTCGATAGTGGTTTTATGAAGATATCCGCTGCTTGGTTTCTGCTTGCTACATGCCTTAATTCGACGCTTCCCTCCTTCACATGTTCACGAATGAAGTGAAATCGAACGTCTATATGTTTGCTTCGTTCATGATTCACTGGATTCCTTGCCAATTCGATAGCTGATTTATTGTCCACTTGTATTATTGTTGGACCTCCCTATTTTAGCTCCATCTTGCTTATCAACCTTCTGAGCCATACTGCATGACAGACGCACCAGGATGCTGCCACATATTCTGCTTCACACGTCGAAAGTGTCACTATAGGCTGCTTCTTCGATAGCCAAGTAAAAGCTGTGTTTCCCATGAAAAACACATATCCAACAGTGCTCTTTCGATCGTCTATGTCTCCACACCAGTCACTGTCAGAATAACCAACTAACTTGTAGTCTTCTGTCTTTGAATAAAACATCCCAAGTGATACTGTTCCTTGGATGTATCTTAGAATCCGTTTCAGCGCCTTCCAATGTGTGTGTACTGGCTCCTCCATGAATCGACTCACTATGCCAACACTTAGTGAAATATCTGGCCTTGTGCATGTGAGATATCGAAGGCTACCTACCAAGCTTCGATATTTACTTCCTTCGAATCGTTCTCCTCCATCAAACTTTGACAGCTTTGTACCTGGTTCCATTGGCGTCGAAGTTGGATTGCAATTCTTCATTTTATATTTTTCTAAGATCTCCTTTGCATACTTTTATTGTGATATGAAAATTCCATCTTCTTCTTGTCGAACCTCCAGACCAAGAAAGAATCTCATCAAACCTAAGTCTGTCATTTCGAATTCGCTTGTCATGGTGCTTTTGAAGTCTTCGATCATCTGAACATTACTGCCTAGAAAGATAAGATCATCAACATAAAGAGCAACAAGTAATAAATCACTTCCATTTTTCTTCACATAGAGGGCTGGTTCATAAGGACGTTTCTCGAATCCATTCTCCTTAAAATATGTGTCAATACGTGTGTTCCATGCCCTAGGTGCTTGCTTCAGCCCATACAGTGATTTCTTCAGTTTCAACACCTTCTTCTCTTCTCCAGTTCTCATATATCCAAGTGGTTGTTCGACATAAATTTCTTCTTCGAGCACACCATTCAAAAATGTTGTCTTGACATCCATTTGAAATATTGGCCATTTAAACTGAGCAGCTTGAGAAATGAGTAATCGAATTGTCTCCATTCTTGCAACAGGCGCAAACACTTTGTCATAGTCAATTCCTGCCTTCTGTTTGTATCCCTTCGCAACCAGCCGTGCTTTGAACCTTTCGATTTCTCCTTGAGCATTCATCTTTTTCTTGAATACCCACTTTACACCAATGGGTTGACTACCTTTTGGTAATTCGACTAGCTCCCAAGTATTGTTGCGTTCGATTGCTCTAATTTCTTCGTCCATGGCACTTTTCCACTTCTTATCTCTTAACGCTTCTTCAACACTGATGTTTTCAGCATCTGCCAGAAGACACACAAAATGCACCTCACTTGTTGAATGATACAAATCTTGCAAACTTCTCATTTTGGGTTGTATAGGTTCATCTCCATCTTCTGTTTCTTCATGTTCTTCTGGAATACTTGTTGGTACAACTATAGTTGTTTCTTCGACTGTGTCAGCAATCTCTATCGAATTGTTCCAGTCCCACTTGCTTGCTTCGTTCATTCGAACGTCTCTGCTCACAATCACTTTCTTGCTTATGGGATTGAAGAGCTTGTACCCTTTCGTCTTCTCATCATATCCAATGAATATGTACTTCTGACTTTTGTCTTCAAGCTTTGTTCTTTGTTGATCTGGTACATGTGCATAAGCTATGCTACCAAATACCTTGAGATGAGAAATTGTTGGCTTCTGTCCACTCCATGCTTCTTGTGGTGTTTTGTCTTCTAACTTCGAATGTGGACATCTATTCTGAATATAAACAGCACATTGCATTGCTTCTGCCCAGAATTCTTTCGACATATTCTTGCTTTTGAGCATTGATCGAACCATGTCAAAAATAGTTCGATTCTTCCTTTCAGCCACACCATTTTGCTGAGGTGAATATGGTGCAGTTAGGAATCTCCTTATGCCCTGTTCTTCACAGTACTTCACGAAGGCCATCGAAGTATACTCTCCTCCTCTGTCAGATCGAATTGCTTTGATGTGTCTGTCTGTTGCCTTCTCCACCATTACTTTGAACTTTTTGAACACTTCTAATGCTTCAGATTTTTCTTTCAGGAAGTAGACCCAGGTTTTTCTTGAGAAGTCATCATTGAAGGAAATGAAGTACCTTTTTCCACTGAAGGATTCTGGAGTGATTGGCCCACATATGTCAGTATGTATCAATTCGAGTATATGTTTAGCTTGATACCCTGCCTTCTTTTGAAATGAGGTTCTTGTTTGTTTGCTGAGCACACATTCTTCACCGAATTTTCCTTCGAAATCCATGTCTGGTAGTCCATGCACCATGTTCCTTTTCGCCAACCTTCTCAAACCAGCATGATGTAGATGACCAAAGCGCATGTGTCATAGTGACGCTTTGTCTTGCACTTCGATTTGTAGACATTTCTCTCGAATGTTCCTCAGATTCAGTTTGTACATTCGATTCCTTTCCATTTCGACAGCGGAAATCAGATATCCTGCTTTGTCCTTCAACTGTAGTGTTAGATCTTTCATCAGTATCGAAGCACATTTTTCTGTAAGTTGTCCCAGACTTAATATGTTGGTCTTAAGATCTGGTACATAGTAAACGTCTTCGATTGATCCAATCAAGCCATCCTTTTGTAAGTAACTGATTGTGCCCTTTCCTTCAACCTTCACTTTTGATGCATCTCCAAAAGACACACTACCATCTTCAATTCCCTTCATGTCTTTAAACAGGTGTTTGTAACCACACATGTGATTACTTGCTCATGAGTCAAGATACCAAACACTGTCATTGGTGTTGATTTCGTTTTGAGCCATCAGGAGAAAGCCTTCATTTGATTCAGCTTCCAAGGCTAGGTTGGTTGTCTCTTCAGTCTTCTTTTCATTTCGACAGTCTTTTGCAAGATGTCCCACTTTGTCACAGTTGTAACATTTGTAGGAGTTGCAATCCTTCGCGTAATGACCATACTTCCCACACTTGTAGCATTCGAAGTTGGAGTAATTCGAACGACCACCTCTTTGACCACGTCCTCTGCCACGCCAATTTTGTTGGCTCGAATGTCCTCTTTCGAAGTTGCTACCTCTACCACTTCGACCACTGTCACGACCTCCACGTCCACGTCCTCTTCCTCGAAAGTTGTGAGAAAAGAGTACCTTTTCATCTTTGTTCGATTCCTTGGTTTGGTTTGCTTCTTCGTCTGCTTATTCTTTCTTTTTCATCTTTCGTTGTTCATGTGCTTCGAGCGAACCAGTGAGCTCTTCGATTGAGAGCGTCGAAAGGTCCTTCGATTCTTCTATTGCACACACTAGATTTTCAAACTTGTCTGTTAAAGATCTCAAGATCTTTTCAACAACTCTTGCATCAGCTACTATCTCTCCATTTCTTGTGAGTTGATTCACCACCTTTTGCACACGTGTGATGTAATCAGATACAATTTTTGTATCCTTCATCTGTATCCTCTCCAATTCGCCACGAAGAGTTTGGAGTCGAACCTGCTTCACTCGATCTGCTCCTTTGAACACCTTTTCTAACGTGTCCCACGCTTGTTTCGACGTAGTCGAACCAGCAATCTTCTCAAAGCCTGATTCATCTACAGCCCTGAACAACATGTATAATGCCGTTTTGTCTTTCGCTCGCGTCTCTTTCAACGCCTTCGTTTGAGCTGCTGTAAATCCCCCAACTTTTGTTGGTTCTTCAAACCCATCATGGGTCACCTCCCACGCGTCTAGAGATCTAAGAAGAGCTTTCATTTGGATACTCCAGTTTTCATAATTGGACTTCGTTAGCCGTGGTAACGGCATTTGATTCATCATGTTTGCCATAAGCTCTTATGCCAAATTGTTAGATTTCGAATCAGACTTCTGTATAAATTTTGTATATTGCTCTTGTCAAATAAATTACACACTTGGTCTTTTATAGACCCAAATAAACTTTTACAATTCTAAAACATAAACATAACTGCTACTAATAACTATCATAACTTACTAAACTATTGTCCTTCCTACTACCATAATTAAATGCAAAGCTTATTACTAACACATTTAATGTTTATTCAATATAGATTAAATCAGTAAGCAGTGTTTAAGTTGCTCTTCCTTTCATTGGAGAGAGAAATGATATTTTCTCTCTTTATTACAATCATTTTTCAAATGCTTTTATTAAAAGTAATAAAAAAAAAATTAAAGACGACGAGTAATAGGAATTAAGCACAAATCACGTTTTCTTCCAACAGTTAATCCAAATGTCTCAGTCATATCAAGTTCTTCATTTTTCATTTCGTTGGAACGCTTCCAATCAAAGTGGAAAAGTAATTTAGCAAACGGTAGCTCAATGTTGGGTAAGGCAAATCCAATTCCTGAACACATCCTCCTTCCAGCACCAAATGGTATGAATTCAAAGTCGGTGCCTCTGAAATCAATTGGACTATTAAGAAACCTCTCAGGTTTAAAACTCTCAGCTTCAACCCAATACTTTGGATCTCTTCCAATAGCCCAAACATTGACCATCACCCTTGTCTTAGCTGGGATCTCATACCCATTTATTTGGCAACTCTCCCTATTTTCTCTTGGAACTAACAACGGTGCAATAGGATGCAACCTTAGTGTTTCTTTGATTACACACTTTAAGTATGTCAGCTGGTGCAACTCTGATTCATCTACACCCCCTTTTTTATCGAACACTTTTCGCACTTCAGCTTGAACTTTTTCCATTACCTTTGGATTTTTTACTAACTCAGACATCCCCCATAACAAAACACCTGATGATGTTTCAGTACCAGCAGCAAACATGTCCTGCAAATGGATCAACATTAATCCTATCCCACTCCTTATACAAACATAAGCTGATTTAATAAGTATGTTAACTTAACACTTTTGGTTGTGAACTAACCTGTATGATTGCTTTCATATTATCGTCAGTCAATGGATGTTGTGATTGATCATTTTCCTGTTGAATCTTGATAAGAGCTTCAATTAGATTTTCATCTTCGCCTGCTTCCTTGTGAATGCTTCGGTGACTATTGATGATGTCTTGCAATATCATATCAATCTCGCTATGAAGTTTTTCAATTTTGGACTTCGCCCTACTCATCCTTTGAAGAATTTTAACAGAAGGATACAAATCAGCAATATAAATTCCTCCTAGCATATTTATCATTTCATTAATTAAGGAAACGAATACTTGTTGGTGTTTGCTCCTTTTCCCTAGTGCTGCCCGGGCAACTATCCCATATGTCATTGAAAAAATCTGATGAGTGAGATTAACAACCAATCCTTCTTTACCAGAAATTGACTTAACAAGGTCTTCCACCTCCTCTTCTCTTATGGACCTAAATGACTGGACACGCCTTACACTCAATAGCTCTATAACGCATATCTTACGTAGTTGCCTCCAGTGCTCTCCATATATAGAGAATAAAATATCAGTATTATTGTAACTATATATTGTGGACAGCATAAGGTTTGGCCTATCACAAAAGTTGAGGTCATGTGTTTTCATAATCTCTTTGGCCATTTCTGATGAACTGACTATTATGTATGGTACCTCTCCTAGTTTTAGGTACATCAAAGGACCATACTTTTGTGCCAAAGTTTTGAAGGAATGATGAGGCAATGGGCTGCTAATAATCTGATGTATGTTCCCTATGAAGGGCAGCCTCCATGGTCCTGGTGGTAAATTGGCTTTAGAATTTTTGGAAGTACTCCATCTTTTAACTATTTTGAATAGTAGCAAGAGAAAAAGAAAGGATACCAGTAAGGTAAAGTTAGAAAAATTGTTGTGAAGCTCCATGATTGTTGAGCAAGGGAAGAAGAATGCTTAGATGAAGGTAATAAAGCAAAAGACTCGCAACAAATACAATAATAGAAAACTAATATAAAATGAATACAATATTAACATACAGATAGCCATTGTCCCTTGCACTAACCACGAGAGTACTATATTTTTGTCATTGCACCTATCACGCTCAATTCGCCATGTGCCTTTATTTTTATAAATATAAAAGCGATTTCAAGAAGATTCTGGGAACTCAAATCACAACTTCGGTCTTCATTGAGGGTTAAGCCAAATGCAAAAATTGTTATAATATGAATCAGACTTCTGTATACTTTTAACTTCTTGTATATTGCTCTTAGTAAATAAATTACACACACTTGATCTATTGTAGACTCAAACAAACTTTTACAATTCTAAAACAGTAAATTAAACAACATAACTGCTACATAACTACTAAAAGAAAACTATTGTCTTTCCTACGATCATAGTTAATACTAATCATTTATTTCTAATCCATTTAATGTTTTATTTCAACAAAACTCCTCCTTAAACATTAAATGCTTCTTCGATCCAGCATCCCAATCATCTTTCTGCCTCTTTCGAATACTTCTCTTGATAGTGGTTTTGTGAAGATGTGAGCTGCTTGGTCTCTGCTTGCCACATGCCTTAGTTCCACGCTTCCTTCTTTTACATGTTCACGAATGAAGTGAAATCGAACGTCTATATGCTTGTTTCGTTCATGATTGACTGGGTTCTTTTCCAGCTCAATAGCTGATTTGTTGTCCACGTGTATTATTGTTGGACCTTCCTGTTTCAGCCCCATCTTACTTATCAACCTTCTGAGCCATACTGCATGGCAGACGCACCAGAATGCTGTCACATATTCTGCTTCACACGTTGAAAGTGTCACTATAGGCTGCTTATTCGATAGCCATATAAAATCTGTGTTTTCCATGAAAAACACATATCCTGCAGTGCTCTTTCGATCATCAATGTCTCCACACCAGTCACTGTCAGAATATCCAACTAACTTGTAGTCTTCAGTCTTTGAATAAAACATCCCAAGTGATACTGTTCCTTGGATGTATCTCAGAATTCGTTTCAGCGCTTTCCAATGTGTGTGAACTGGCTCCTCCATGAATCTGCTCACTATGCCAACACTAAGTGAAATATCTGGCCTTGTGCATGTGAGATATCGAAGGCTGCCTACCAAGCTTCGATATTTGCTTCCTTCGACTCGTTCTCCTCCATGAAACTTCGACAGCTTTGTGCATGGCTCCATTGGCGTCGAAATTGGATTGCAATTCTTCATTTTATACTTTTCTAGGATTTCCTTTGCATACTTTTCTTGTGATATGAAAATCCCAGTTTCTTCCTGTCGAACCTCCAAACCAAGAAAAAATCTCACCAGACCTAAGTCTGTCATTTCGAATTCTTTTGTCATGGTGCTTTTGAAGTCTTCGATCATCTTAACATTATTGCCTAGAAAAATAAGATCATCAACGTACAGAGCCACAAGTAATAAATCACTTCCATTTTTCTTCACATAGAGCGCTGGTTCATAAGGGCATTGCTCGAATCCACTCTCCTTAAAATATGTATCAATGCGTGTGTTCCATGCCCTAGGTGCTTGCTTCAGCCCATACAATGATTTCTTCAGTTTCAGCACCTTCTTCTCTTCTCCAGTTCTCATGTATCCTAGTGGTTGTTCGACATAGATTTCTTCTTCGAGCAAACCATTTAAAAATGCTGTCTTGACATCCATTTGAAATATTTGCCATTTAAACTGAGCAGCTTGAGAGATGAGTAATCGAATTGTCTCCATTCTTGCAACAGGCGCGAACACTTCGTCATAGTCAATGTCAGCTTTCTGCTTGTATCCCTTTGCAACCAGCCGTGCCTTATATCTTTCGATCTCTCCTTGAGCGTTCATCTTTTTCTTAAATACCCACTTTACACCAATGGGTTGACTTCCTTTTGGTAATTCGACCAGCTCCCAAGTTTTGTTGTGTTCGATTGCTTTAATTTCTTCGTCCATGGCGCTTTTCCACTTCTCATCTCTTAATGCTTCTTCAACACTTATGTTTTCAGCATCTGCCAGAAGACACACAAGATGCACCTCACTTGTTGAATCATACAAGTCTTGCAAGTTTCTCATTCTGGGTTGTACAGGTTCATCTCTATCTTCTGTTTCTTCATGTTCTTCTGGAATACTTGTTGGTACAGCTATAGTTGTTTCTTCGACTGTATCAACAACCTCTGTCGAACTGTTCCAGTCCCACTTGCTGGCTTCATTCATTCGAACGTCTCTGCTTACAATTACTTTCTTGCTTATAGGATTGAACAGCTTGTACCCTTTCGTCTTCTCATCATATCCAATGAATATGAACTTCTGACTTTTGTCTTCAAGCTTTGTTCTTCGTTGGTCTGGTACATGCGCATAAGCTATGCTACCAAAAACTTTGAGATGGGAGATTGTTGGCTTCTGTCCACTCCATGCTTCTTGTGGTGTTTTGTCTTCCAGCTTCGAATGTGGACACCTATTCTAAATGTAAACAACACATTGTACTGCTTCTGCCCAGAACTCTTTCAGCATACTCTTGCTTTTAAGCATTGATCGAACCATGTCAAAGATAGTTCGATTCTTCCTTTCAGCCACACCATTTTGCTGAGGTGAATATGGCGCAGTAAGGAATCTTCTTATGCCCTGTTCTTCACAGTACTTCACAAAGGCAATCGAAGTATACTCTCCTCCTATGTCTGATCGAATTGCTTTGATGTTTCTTTCTGTTGCCTTTTCCACCATTACTTTGAATTTCTTGAACACTTCTAGTGCTTCAGATTTCTCTTTCAGAAAGTAGACCCAGGTTTTTCTTGAGAAGTCATCAATGAAGGTAATAAAATACCTCTTTCCACTGAAGGATTCTGGAGTAATTGGCCCACATATATCAGTATGTATCAGTTCGAGTATTTGTTTAGCTTGATACTCTGCCTTCTTCTGAAATGAAGTTCTTATTTGCTTGCTGAGCACACATTCTTCACAGAATTTTCCTTCGAACTCCATGTCTAGAAATCCATGCACCATGTTCCTTTTCGCCAATCTTCTCAGACCAGCATGATGTAGGTGACCAAAGCGCATGTGCCACAGTGACGCTTTGTCTTGCACTTAGATCTGTAGACATTTCTCTCGAATGTTCCTCAAGTTAAGTTTGTACATTCGATTTCTCTCCATTTCGACAGCAGCAATCAGATATCCTGTTTTGTCCTTCAACTGCAGTGTTCGATCTTTCATCAGGATCGAAGCACCCTTTTCTGTGAGTTGTCCCAGACTTAATATGTTGGTCTTAAGGTCTGGTACATAGTAGACATCTTCAATTGACCCAATCAAGCCATCCTTCTTCAAATAGATGATTGTGCCCTTTCCTTAAACTTTCACCTTCGATGCATCTCCAAAAGACACGCTGCCATCTTCAACTCCCTTCATATCTTTAAACAGGTGTTTGTAACCACACATGTGATTACTTGCTCCTGAGTCAAGATACCAAATACTGTCATTGGTGTTGATTTCGTTTTGGGCCATAAAGAGAAACCCTTCATTCGGTTCAGCTTCCAAAGCCAGATTGGTTGTCTCTTCAGTCTTCTTTTCATTTCGACAGTCTTTTGCAAGATGTCCCACTTTGTCACAGTTGTAACATTTGTAGGAGTTGCAATCCTTCGCGTAATGGCCATACTTGCCACACTTGTAGCATTCTAAATTTGAGTAATTCGAACGACCACCTCTTTAGCCACGTCCTCTGCCACGCCAGTTTAGTTGGCTCGAATTTCCTCTTTCGAAGTTACTGCCTCTACCACTTCGACCACTGTCACGTCCTCCACGTCCACGTCCTCTTCCTCGAAATTTGTTCGAAAAGAGTACTTTTTCATCTTTCGATTCTTTTGTTTGGTTTTCTTCTTCGTCTGCCTCTTCTTTCTTCTTCATCTTTCTTTGTTCATGTGCTTCGAGCGAACCAGTGAGCTCTTCGATTGAGAGCGTCGAAAGGTCCTTAGATTCTTCTATTGCACACACCAGATTTTCAAACTTGTCTGTTAAATATCTTAAGATCTTTTCAACAACTCTTACGTCAGCTACTGTCTCTCTATTTCTTGTGAGTTGATTCACCACTTTCTGCACACGAGTGATGTAATCTGATACATTTTCTGTATCCTTCATTTGTATCCTCTCCAATTCGCCACGAAGCGTTTGGAATCGAACCTGCTTCACTCTGTCTGCTCCTTTGAACACCTTCTCTAACGTGTCCCACGCTTTTTTCGACGTAGTCGAACTAGCAATCTTCTCGAAGCCTGATTCATCCACAGTCCTGAACAACATATATAATGCTGTTTTGTCCTTCGCTCGCGTCTCTTTCAACGCCTTCGTTTGGGCTGTTGTATATCCTCCAATTTCTGTTGGTTCTTCAAACCCATCATTGGTCACTTCCCACGCATCTAGAGATCCAAGAAGAGCTTTCATTTGGATGCTCCAGTTTTCATAGTTTGACTTCGTTAGCCGTGGTAACGACATTTGGTTCATTATGTTCGCCATGAGCTCTGATGCCAATTTGTAGAATATGAATCAGACTTCTGTATACTTTTAACTTCTTGTGTATTGCTCTTAGTAAATAAATTACACACACTTGGTCTTTTGTAGACTCAAACAAACTTTTACAATTCTAAAACAGTAAATTAAACAACATAACTGC